GCAGGAATTGCCTTGGGCGGCAAGCAGACTCCTTCGCTGAGGGAGGCTATTGAGCACACTGACCTTTTGCCCAGTGGAGTAGGTGAACTTGCTTTCTAGCCAAATGTGAGATGATTATCTGCCCACATTCTGCTCCTCCTCCTCTTAGTAGACCAAGGATTGGCCGCCTCATGACAAAGGTGACAAAGCCAAGGCCTCAGGCCTAGATTAGACCCTCACTTTCTGTCTTAAGTTAGTTTCAACTAAATATCTCCATCTCCAGTGCTTTAGGGCTTCCAGCCGCTCCAGCCTAGCCCATATTAGCCGTCTCCAGACTGGCCTACCCAGCATCAGTCTCCCCTCCTTCACCCTCTGACAGTCTTCCATGCTCACTACCAGACTGATCTTCCTAAACTTAAATATCTTCCACAGCTCCCCTGCAGTCTGCAGTGAGAATAATGTGGGTTTTGGGGTGTCAACTGATTTCTAGAGCTAGACCGCTTAGGTTTATATCTCGCCTCTACTGTTTACTAGTTTGTGACTTAGAGCAAGTAACGTAATCTCTTTGTGTTTATTTTTTCCCCTGTAAAATAGGTTTAATGATTGTACCAAATGCATATAATTGTTATTAGGTTTAAATGAGTTACAATATGTGAAGTGCTTAGAATGAGGCTTAGAACATAGTAGGATCTCAGTATATATGAGCTATTCGTAGTATAATGATTGTTATTGTGCCATCATCATTATTATAAAGTTTAGTCTACATGGGAGTTACTAAGAGTTTAGTTAAGGTATATATTTCTGGCCCTACCCTCAGAAATTCTGATTTCAGTAGGCCCAGAGTAAAGCCTCAGGTTTAACAGCCACCCTTCTAGGTAAGTTTTAATGCCAGTGTTTGGACAATGCCTGTTTGGAAAATATTGTCTACAGAATTAAATTCAAGCTCCTTTCTATAGCGTAAAAAGTGTCTAATGATCTGGCTCATTGCCTAACTTTCTAGTCTTATTTTTTGATCTGAGCTCACCATCACTTTAGCTTTTGGCAGCTGTAGCTCCCCAGATATCCCAGGCTGCTTCACGCCTTCACTGGTCATCCCTCTGCCTGGATGCTCCCTCCACCCCAGGCCACCTGTAAATTATGAAGCCTTCTACTTGCCTGAAACCCTGAGTATCACCTGCTCTGTGCTCCTTCCTTGTGGGCTCTATTGCATTCTGTTATATAATTTTTTGTTAGTCTTTTGCCTCAGCCTAAAGGTAAAAGGACTGTGTCAAATTTATCTGTGTATACTTTACGATGTGTAAATTATATCTTAATTAATTGAGGGAGGTTTAAATGTATTTGTGTCCCTTGCGCCTTACAAAAATCATAGTATGGTATAGATATCAGCAAATGTTTATTCAATGGAGGAAAGACTTTTATTTTACTCTCTTTCAACTTACAGAAAACAGTTGCCGAGCAGAATTTGGAGGATACCAGACAGCAGCTCTTGGCAGCCAGAAGCAGCCAGGCCAAGGCCATTGACGTCCTGGAGACTCGGGTACTGACTTCACTCCCAATGATTGCGATGTCTGGGTGGTAACTTGGTGGATAGCACGATTGTGGCTGAGGATCCCCTTGGGTCAGAGGTTTTCTTTTGAAAGGAGTATTTTTGGAATCTTACTTATGTAAGATTGAGTTAGTCATTTTCTTTCTTCTTGCCACATTACCATCATTATTCCACAAAAAATTGTCCTTATTTATTTCCTTTCATCCCCATTCTTTTTCCTCCCATAGGAAACCATTCCGACGTGGTTAATAGAGATCCTTCTGTTGTTGGGTTACCCTGAATTGGGTGGCATTGTTTGTGTCCATGTGTGTTTATGTAAATGACACAGCTATGCATGTGTCTTCTGTTACTTTCAACTGCTCCATCTTCTCTCTCTGTCCACTTCATTGTACTTATCTACTCTACGTTGTAGTTATCTACTAGATGCTAGACATCCAGATTGCCTTCTTTCTGTCACCGCAGACCACACTTCAGTGAGCATCCTTGTTCCTGTCACCTTGAGAAGAGAGAATGCAGATGACCTAATGTGCCTAACAGGACATAGATGTTCCAGTAGGGCTGCACCTGGCTCTGCTCCCCTGGCATGATTGAAGTTTCCTGTATCTGCACTTCATCCTTTTCCAGCATTGGCATTTCCCCATGGAAATTTTTTTGGCCAGTTTAACGAGTGTAAAGTGGTGGAAGAGGCAGAGGGTCTCTGTGGGGCCCCTTTAATAGGGGCACCGCTCCCGTTCCCAACGGCTCTCCCCTCATGACCTAAGTGCCTCCCAAGGACCCCACGTTCTAATAGCATCGCATCAGGCATTAGGATTTTGGCATATGAATTTTGTGGGGACACAGGCTTTCAGACCATAGCAAATTTAGCTCATTTTTTATATCTTTCTTATTTCCTGATACATATATTTTAAGGTATATTTTTCTCTAAATATAGCTTTGTTTGTTATAATTCCATTCTCTTTCTGAATATCCAGTTTTTTGTTGTGGTAAAATTTACCATTTCAACCATTTCTAGGTGTACATTTCAGTGGCATTATGTACATTCACGTCGTCGTGCAGCCATCACCACCATCACCTCCAAAACTTTTTCATTTTCTCAGACAGAAATTCTGTACCCATTGAAACAATAACTGCCCATTTTCTCCTTCCCACAGCCCCTGACAACCGTGATTCTACTTTCTGTAACTATGATTTTGACAAATCTAAGTACCTCACATTAGCAGAATCATGCAATATTTGTCCTTTTGTGTCTGGCTTATTTCACGTAGCATAATGTCCTCAGGTTTATCCATGTTGTAGCATGTGCCAGACTTTCATTCCTTTTTAATGCCGAATAAGGCATTGTAAGGCTTTCATTCCGTTGTATGCATATACCACGTTGTGTTTATCCATTTGCCAGGGGACATTTAGGTTGTTTCCACCTTTTGGCTGTTGCGGATATGATGCTGCTTGAACATTAGTGTAGCACAGTGAACAGGCTTTTGTATGGGTTTATACTTTTATTTCTCTTAGGTATATACTAGAAGTGAAATCGCCAGGTCATATGATACCTCTATAGTTAACCTTTTGAGGATCTGAAATCTTCCCTGAGTTCTGCCTCTAAGTGGGACTTGGGTAGATATTTTCTGAACCCAGGAGTTTAAAAAACTTGGTTTCAGTCCTGATTCTACCACTAATAGAATTTATGATCACGGACAAGTAACGTTACTGATCTCCCCTATGGAAGTACTCACATTCTTCTCATGGAGTTGTTTCAGTTACGTCATGTGATGTGAATGTGTCTGAGGAACCACGATACCTAAAAACCCCCTCCTCTCACTGGGTGCCTACGTCTCCTTGAAAAAGCTGCAGCTTTTATGCTTAAGTTTTCATAATAAAGCTCCCCAAGGGCAGACCTTCGTTCATAAACATGAGGACTTTGTCAGAGAAATTGACAAAGAGAGCTCAAGTCAGATAAAAATACCCCACTAGAGAGTGAAATCAAGCTAAGTGCTAGACAGTGTGTGAGCATCTTGTCCACAGGGCAGCTTCGTGTCTAGTGCGGGGCCAGGTACGTAGTGAGACTTAGTCAATATTTGTGGAACGAATGAAACCAAAGTTTGTGTCGTCGTAGTAATTAATCCTCCTGCTGGGAATCTATCCTAAGGAAGCAATTGAAATCAGGTCAAAAAATTTTGCATGAAAATGTTAACGGCCGAATTATTTTTGATGAGAAAACAGAAAACAACCTCAGTGCCAGTACAGTAGGCAGTGGTGCAGTAAATTCTGAAATATCCCTTGAGAAAATAACCTAAGGTCTGGAGGCTACATGGAAACACAGAAGGAAACTTGAGTGAGGAGAAACAATACAAAATGTTACTAGAATTGTATACAAAATTATTTTTTAAAAGTCATAAAAATAGACTGGAGAAAATACATTAGAAAGATAATGTTTTATAATAGTAGACTTATGGGTATCTTTTTCTGATTTAAAAACTTTCTGTAGTGTACCTGATTTCTAATTTAAATGGATTTGGTTTTTAAAGCCATTTATTTCATTCCTCAGCTTCTTTCGAATGAAAAGATGCTTCTGTTTCCCTCTCAGGTGAACGATCTAGAGCAGAGCCTGCAGGCCTCTGAAGAGAAGCTGAAGCAGAGCGCTGGCGTTGTGGCAGCTCAGGAGGCTCAGATTCAGGAGCTTGTAAGTGATGATTGTGGCCGCCATGTTCTGGGCCCCTGATTCTTTCCCTTTCTGCCTTTGCAGATGCCCCAAAGTCACTCCTAACTTCTGGAATGGTTTCTGGACCTGACTTTAGATACAATTGTGCTGGATATGAGCAGGTGGGCAGCTGCAGGTAGAGGGAGTCAAGACCTGCTGGAAGGTCTGAGTCACTCAGAGAGGGAGTGACTGGCTAATTCCCACCTGCCGTGGGGCCCGGCCTAATTCTGGGAGCTGGCAGTGGTAGCTCTGCTGGCACTCAGACTCCAGCTGGCAGCCAGGGCTGCGGAGAACAGGTCCAGGCTCTGGGGAGAAGATGGCAAGGGTTTGGCCTGTCATCACAGCCTCAGGAGAGCTGCTGAGTTAGAAACTAGAGAAATAAAAATGGCGTTCATTGCATGTGTGCCTTGTCCCAGGAACTGCTAGTACTGTGTGTGTCACATTTAGTCCTTGCAGCAGACCCAGGAGGTATGTACGGTTGTCCTCCTTCTCTATAGGAAGCAAGCTTAGAAACACTAGGCCATGGTCTCCCAGCTAATAAAGGGCAGAACCCTCATCCTTGAGTCCAAGGCCTTGTCTTCATTGCTCTCTCAGTAGAGGGCAGCACTGAGTAGGGAGGAGGGTGAGAGAGGGCTGTGCCTCAGGACTGACTGTTGCCCAGAGCTATGCTCCCAGAGCCGAGACTAACCCCACACTCCAGTTTCCAAGTAGGCGGGGGCCCGGGGCAGTAGGCAGAGCCTGCAGGTGGGGACCTCAGCAACACCCAGGCTGCAGAAGGTCAGAAAGGTCCACCCATCTTTGGATCACCGAGAAATGAGAAACGGAGTGAGGCCCCTGTTGTCACCCTGAATAACTGTCGTCCGGTACCCCCACAGGCCGCCGCGAACAAGGAGAGCAGCCGCGCACAGCAGCAGGCCCTCGCCCTGCGGCAGCAGTGCACAGAGCACCTCCGCGTGCTGGAGGCCCAGCTCGCTGCCCTGGAGCAAGCGCGTGCCGCCGACCAGGCGGCTGCGGAGCGCGAGGCGGTGAGCGAGGAAGGGAGCGGGCCGGGCTGATCTGCACCAGGTTCGCGCGTGGCCGGGCCGCCAAGTAGTGTGACAGGAGGACCAGCCCGCTCCGGACCGGGGAACCACTTTTTAGAGTTTTTGTCTTTCCAACAAGATGCCTGCTCACGAGACCAGATGTAAAAAGGCTGCTTTTAGAAAAACCACAAACCGATGGGTTTTCTTTTTCCTTGGGTGGCACAGGACTTCTTGACACTTCATGAGCAGTGCCATCAGCTTCTTCCTGCCTTCTTTCTAGAATTCATATTGTTCTTCACTAATGGCTTCTCCATTTCCCTGGTCCCTCTCCCTGTTCCACGGTCTTCAGAATCAAGGGCCTGTTTCTTATGAGGAGTTTGTGAGGTGGTTCTCCCCACACCCCATTCTCATCTCCCATGCCTGCGGTGAACAAAAACGGGGAAGAGGGGCATTTTTAAAGGTTCCATGTCAAAGAGATAGGACCATGCCCAGGGGAAATGTGGTAAAGATCTTTCCTTTCAATACGTGCTTCTCTTAATTTGCAGAGAGAGCTGGAGCAAGAAAATACAGCCCTTAAAGAAAAGAAGAATGAATGCGAACTTTCTTTACAGCATCACCAGCTTGAATTAAAGAAGCTAAAGGTATTTACCTAATTGATTCAGTTTCATGAGAGCGTTGTGTCTTTTACTTGGAGGAGTGGAACTAGCATTTGTTCAATAGTTGTTAGGCATTTGCTAGAAATTGTCACCTCTTTAACTGCTCTCAATGACTCATGACGATAGGAAGAATTACGATGATTTTGCAGTTAATGTCATTGAGGTTCCGAGTGCAAGTCATCTGTCCAAGTCGCATAGTCAGAGGTGATGCTGGTCTGACTTTTCACTCCACAGAGGCTCAGCCCTTCCTCTGTGTCGTCGTCACTAACTGCCTGAAAATAATGCTGTCAGTACCACCATTGGCTCTAAGGCAGGTCCTCAGGTCTTCAGGACCTTATTCATTTGCATCAGGGACCCCGAACATAAATGAGGAGACAGTCCGCTGGATTGCTTCCCTTCTCTTCCTGAGAACTCGGTCTTTATCAGGTGCTGCTCCCTTCGTGTCCTGGACATAACTGGATGCGGAGGAGAGAGATTCTGTCACTTACTTATAGGCCTCCAGGCTCCCAGCCCCTTTCGTAGCAGATGCTGGGTCGTTGCAGTAAAGCTGTTTAAAAAAACAGTGAATGAGTTTAATAGCAGATTAGAACTGGCAGGCACACACAACTGAGTCTGTGTGGCTCTAAAGTCTGTGCTGCTGCCTCAGAGCCACATGCGATCCAAGACCGTGGGATTCGAGGCTGCCTGGCACAGCTCAGGTTTGCAGCAGGAGCCACCAGTCTGCCCCTGGGGATGATTCCTCTGAGAGGCCCAGGGAACAGCTGTTTTGAAAAATATGGATACAAACAATTCTAAATATGTGTGCACTTAAAAGAGTGTTTCAAAATACTGGAAGCAAAGATCGACAGAACTAAAGGGAGCAAGAGACAAATCCATGATCACAGTCGAAGAGTTAGCATGCCCCTCTCTAACTGACGGAATGAGGAGACAAAAGACAAAACGGAAAGCAGGTTTGAACAGTACTCTCCACCTACTCGACCTAATTAGCTTTTATGGAATCCTCTCCCTAACGACAGCAGAATATGTATTCTTTTCAAGTGCCCTGAGAAGACTGTAGGCCAAGTCACAAAACAAGTCTAAATATCTGAGGACTGCAGTCGTTCAGGGTATTATCTCACCAAATGATAGTAAACTAGAAATCTAAGGTATTGAGAAAATTCCCCAAACATTTTAAAATTAACCACACTTTAAGTAGCCTGGCTTTTAAGTTACCGACTCTCAGCCCACACCATCCTTTTATATTTTGCTTTGCGATGCCGCACCTGGGACTCTGCACGCCACGTTTCTGCTTGTCCAGCTGGCTCCATGTGAGTGCTGCCAACAGGGGAGACTCGAGGAAGACTGGAAGGCAGGAGCGGGGAGGAAAAGACCTGCTCCTTCCTGTCAGCTTCCTGCTCTGAGCAGTGCCACTTCTAGTTTCTTGCTGAAGCAGTAGCTGCATTCACGTTGCAGTTTTTCCAGCACTTGGGGCTGAATTTATTCACTGTCCTCTCCACCAAACACACAAGTGCCAACTGAACAGTGCATCCCCGCCCCGGGAGGTCTGTGCCAGATCTGTGGGGCTCCTCGTCTTAGTCCTAGGGAACAAGTTTAACAGCAGATTAGAACTAAAGAGGGAATTAGTGAAATGGAAGAAAGGGCAGAATGAAATACAGAAAAGGAATGACAAAAGGCACATAAGATACTTCGAGATGTTCTATCGTGTGGCATTGGAGATACTGAAGATGAAACAAACGAGACAGGAGTGTCCTCGAAGAGATAATGGCTGAGGATTTTCCACAGTGACGAAAGCCATCCAGTCACAGGCACAGGTGTGATCATCCTTACAAAGCCAAACAGGATACATTTACAATCCATACGCAGACACAGCATGGTAGTAGAAAGAAAACCAATAAAACGAAAACAGTCACCAACAGACATGCACCTAAAGAAAGTACTAAAGAGCATCTTTCAGCCGAAGGAAAATTCTGTATGGAAGATGGAAGGGGGTAAGAAAGAATGAAGAGCAATGATTATTGCAAGTATGTACAAGAGAAGAAACAGAAAATCTGACCCCCTGTATGTCATTGGTGGTCCAGTCAGGAGAAAGGGACCACCCATTATTGAGAATTTATGTTCTAATGTAGTTTTTATTCCAGCACTGAAACAGTTAAAAGATAATACAAAAGTAGCAACTGAAGGAAGGAGCTGATTATTTTTCCTGTGGCCAGATTTTTCCGGTCCACTACACCATTCACATGGGCCTTCTGTGTTGATTTCATTAGACCAGCTCTTCAAATTCTAGGTCCCCCAGCCTTGGCCAAAGTACTGGCTTCTGTGCCTATGGGACAACTGAGCCTCGGTAGTGTGCTGGTTTCTAGAGGGGTCAGTGGGTTGTCCACCGGGACAGTTCTCAGAGGAAGAGAGAGGGCATTGCGGCACGAGGGCAGCCTGCGCACCGGGGGGCGCAGGAGGAGTAGTGGTCTGCCCCTGCAAGACGGCAGCCCCTCTGCAGGCTTCACATGACATGCACGGCGAAGTGCGAGCTGAGTTCGGGGGCCCAGTCTCCTACCTGTTCTCTGGGTTGTAGGAAGAATGGAGCCAAAGAGAAATTGTGAGCGTGGCAATGGCTCAAGCTCTGGAGGAGGCACGGAAGCAGAGGGAAGAGTTCCAGCAACAGGTAGGCTCACTTCTGTCCCAGGTGGCACCAGCCTGCCTTCCCATCGGTCTAGGGCAGGGTGGACATAGGTCACAAGAAGGACAGCAGCTGCGTGATTCCTTTGACGTTTCTAGGAAGGTGGGAGAAAGTGTTATAAAGAAACCCCCACCCCGTAGGAATGCCCTTTAGACAGTGACGGTCAGTTATTACGACATCACCTGAGGAAGAGCCCGTGCCCAGGTACTCGCGGGCTCTCTGTGCGGTGGGCATGAGGTCGGGCTTCTGGCAGGGTGGGAAGAGCCTCCCTGTGAAGACAGACTTGGCATCGGGCCCCAGGATTCTAGTGGGCTGGCTCAGGCCTTGGGCAGATCCTCAACAAACCCGAGTCTCCGCGTTGCCTCTGAAAAGACTAGGTTGGTGACACCCTCCAAGACATCATAGTGAGGTCATGTATAGCAAACTCTGGGCATGTCGCAGGCACTCGGGCCCTGAAGTTATGGTTATAACAGCTCGTTGGAAGGCTGGGCAGGGTGGCCGCGTCCCTGGGGGCCCAGTGCAGCCAGAGGGGCAATGCGGGTGGTTGACCCGGCAGGGTGCCTGCCGAAGAGACTGGGTTTGCGCATTTTGGGGGGAGCAGGTCAGCCTGGGGTCAGCTCTAGGCTGTGGACTCCAGGGACAGATTCCTGGGGGACCATGGGGAGTGGAACATGGAGATTCCTGCGGAGGAGATGCGGCCTCTGCTGCCAGCCTTCCCCTCTGGTCGGGTTTCTCCCCAAGGCTGCTAACCTGACAGCCCTAGTAGACGAGAAGGAGCTGAGTGTGCGGGAAAAAGCCGAAGCGCTTCTGCAGAAAGAGCAGGAGATTCTCCAGCTGAAGAAAGGTGAGGAGTCTGCCCCTGGCCGAGCCCTGTCACCCATTCCCGCCCAGCACCCCCACCTTGCGGCAGCCCATCTGGGAGCAGAACTCGCCGGACTCACGGTGCCCACCCGCCTCCCCTCTGCCTGGCCCAGGTCACGACGCGGCCCTGCTGCACACGCACCAGCTGCAGACCGAGCTGGAGGCCCTGCGGAGCCGGAGGGCAGAGGAGCCCGAGGCGGCCGCCGTGCGGGAGGGCCTGCTGAGGCTGCCGGGCCGGGGGCAGGGGCTGGTGCTCTCTGACAGCGAGCCTCTCGTGAGTGCCACGGGCGAGTCCCCTGGGGCAGCCATGTGCTGCCGGACGGAGGGTGGGGGGCTGGCTGCCGCACTTTGCCAGGAGGGGGCGGCAGTGGGAGGACACAGGAGCGCTGGGTTTACTGACCGGGGTGTTGTGTGCTTCGGCTTCCTTTCTTTAAAGCGTGGGGTG